ATCTACGTATGTCAGATATTTTAGATATTATTGGAAATGTAGTTTGTTTAGAATTTTTCCAATTATAAATAATCTTCAGTGACCATCCTTTATATGTTAATCTTAATTACAGAACCTTAATCCTCAATATAGGATTTTGAGATTTGTATAACTTAACAGGCCAAGGATAGACTAATGAGAATTCAGGTTGGTCAAAACTCACCGGGTCTTAGCCACATAGGTTGACAGCAGCCTATAACACCAAAAAGGTTTTCTCCTACAGACAATTCCACAATACAGCGACATTGTCAGGTCCTTAGAGGAAAGAGGAATTAAAAAAAAAAATCATAGTATGCAATTGAAAGTAATGAATCACCAAGAAGGTTACCCTTTAAGACAGAATAGGATTACTTGTTAATACTAAGGAAAGAAAAACTGAATAGGAGTCAGATGACCTGGCTTCTAAATTGTATTTCTACCACTAACTAGTTGTGGGATTTTAACTTTTCAATACCTCTTTCCTAACCTACAAAATTAAAACCTGTTCTGCCTACCTAATATGTTATTGTGAGAATCAGCTAACTATCCACAGAAATACGTGCTTGTCTTTCCATACTGTGGAATTATTGGTGGAAGGTAGTTATCAAGCCAAGGCCTACATTTCTCTCCTCCCTTGTATCTAAGTCGGGCCCAAAACTAAGTCTTAACAATGGAATATGATTGGAGTGATGTGTATTTTTCTAGGCTGAAGCAGTAAGAAGTGGGTATACCTTTTCCCTTTCTGCTTGGAAGACTCTGGAATGGCAGAAGCCTGGAAACTTGAATCACTCACTACATGGAGAAATGCCACCCACCAAGCAAAGACAATTTATGAGTGAGAAACTTCTACCATATGAATCCACTAAAATGTCAAAGTTTGTTACAGCAGCTAGCATTACTCTAATAGATCAAGTGAGCCAGGGAGTGTCCCCAGAGCAATGGAGTCAAGTTTCTTAGAATACACGAAAACCAAAAGTCCCTCCGAATATGAAGTAGGAGAAATCCTGTAGAAAAGAAAAATATAAAATCATGGCCATTAGGAAAATATTTCAAAAAGTAGCTCTGTAAATCTCCATGGATCTAAGATATTTCCTATTTTTTTTGTACCTCACTGTGAGAGAAAAAAAATGCTGTATCTTAAGACTACATTCTGCACAGTGATTCCTTTTGAATTGGATATCAGTAAGTATTTTTTTCTTCATGTAAAGTACATTTCATGTTAGCAATAAAAACGTCAAGAAGTTCCACTGAAACGAGAAAATCAGTAACAGTTAAATAACCAGCCACCCTTTTAGCTGTGCCCAAGGGAAGCAAGCTTAGATAGTGAACCACCGAGGAACATCTAAAGTTTAGGCCTGTGTCTTGATTGCATAATTATGAAACACTGATGACGAATCCTTGGACAGGTTTGGCTACCTTTGTCCTAGCTCAGGGTAAATTATATTTAGCAAATGACATTCAACAACATGTTTATTGAGTACTGACTTTATACAAGGGCCCTTAAGGAATACAAAAGTATACAGGATGAAAATCCTGACCTCAAGGGACTTGAGCAGGAGAGAGAAAATAAATTTCACAGAAGTCAATATGTGATATGTGGGTTACAAAGCATTCCACAGGAGAGTAATAAAAGTATAATCACTATTTTAATAACCCAAAGACTTGTGTGATATACTGGGAGAAATATATTTAAAGTCAATATTTCTGTCTCATATATAGCTCAGAGAACGTAAATTGGTACAATATTTTTGGAAGGCAATTTGGGAATATCTATCAAAATGTTACATAAACATTCCTTTCACCTAGCAAGTCCACTTCTAGGAATTTATCCTAAGAAGGGAAGGATATGTACAGGAATGTTAACTGAAAATTATGATAAAAGGGAATAACACACCACTTAAAAATAGATAGAAAATAAGGTAACAGTAGAAAAAATATATATGTAGTATGAGGGAAAGATATTCAGAATATATTAAGTAAGAAAAGCAAGTAATATTTAGTTGGTTTATCATGATCTAATTAATTTATAAAGAAAGGGACATAAACATGCCAGAACAAATAAATTAGATACATATTTATTCGTATTTTTAAAGTGACTAGAAGTATACATACCAAACTGTTTAACAGTGACTAATTTGCCAGAGTGGGATGGAGATAGAGATAGAAAAAGGTGCCTGTAATTTTTACTTTATACATTTCCATACTTAAAAAATTTTAACCGTGTGTACATACTCCTTTTACAACAAAACAAAGTACAATAAATAGTAGTTCCTGGTGCTAGCTGCATAATGAGGCTGTTTCCAGGCCATTGTTCCCAGTAGCACCTCACCACATTCCCTGGGAGCCAAAAGGAGTTCCTTAGGTAAATTCCTTGGATCCTGAGACCTGTGAGAGCTGTCTGATTGTAGTCATGAGTACCAGCTGATCTGTGTGGCCCACTCACTGCACTTGGCTGCCTGATGCTCTGCCTGGTTTCTGCTACTAAATTAACCTTGCCCCCTGTGGAGTATGAAGACCTGCTGACTCGTGGGATGGTGATCACAGAGCTTGTAGAAAACATAGGAAATTTCTTAATATAGCTTTAAAAAAATATCAACAATCAAGAGGAAAAATAGAATTTTAACTGAGAATTGTACCTTCATTGGTACAGTCACAAGCCTAGTAGATAAAGATTAAGTCTAATTCCTTTTCTAAATGGTCCCTTGTATATTGTTTATATACATCTTATATAAAGTAGTATAGAGACTATTTAAAAGTCAAAAGGGGAGAAAATGATTTCCTTAAAATTCAGCTTTAACTGTATTTTTCTCGTTTAAATTATAAAATTAATATAACTACATTACAGGGAATCTTGAAAATAGTATTATGAGATCACCCATATCACCACATAAATATAACTTATGATTTAATACATATCTTCTAGCCTTTTTACACATACAACTTTTACATATTTATAATCAGAGAACATGTATTTTTTTCAACTTGCTTCATGAAACATGTTATAAGCAGTTTTCTGTGATTTTTTATAGAAGCTTCACAATTTTGGGGGCTACATCATAATTACATTCAAGCAGGCTCATCCTGATTTTGCTAAACATTCCCCTGATATTAGATATTTGGGTTGCTCTGATTTTAAATTACCAGAAATAAAATACCACCTAAATACCTCTGTGCTAATATTTTCAAGTTACTTCTTTAAGATAAGTTACCCCAAAGTAGAATTATTGGGTCAAAATTTATTTTAAAATCACATGGCTCTTTCTACACATTGCTGCACTTACATGAGTCTGTAGTATTTGGTTTAAAAAAAGCAAAAACACTTTATTTCATATTTCTTTGATTATTATAGAGATTGAAAGTGTTTTCAGATTTAATAGCCTTTATTCCTTTTGTAAAATGTCTGATGTCCTGTGCTTCTTTATTAATTGTGAGTTTACTCTACTTTTGACCATTCTAATTCTTAAAATATTATAGTGCACTTATAGTATTCTCCACAACCTGATCACCAAAACGCATTATACGAACCAGCGGCTACATATATTGCCTTTCTTTGGGAGGCAGTCCCTCAGATTGAACCTCAGTACAAAAAAAGAGGCTCTTTTAACAGTCAAGAGGATATGTGAGATTACTTTTAGACTGAAAATATAATTTCTTATAGCCCTATACTATTTAGAAATCTAGTGCAGGGAAAATTTGCTACTTTTTTTCTGAAATGGCTCATGATTTTTTTCCACTATGTTTTGGGGCTCTTCAGTGTGATGCATTACTCAAAGTGTATTGGCCCAAAGGCTCAAATTTGGTAAATAACTGGTAAACATGCGACCATACTCACATCCAGCTGCTCAAATGCCACATTACAAACAGAATAGTTGTTTTTGTTTGAATTGGCAACTATTATTATATTTTATGCCTAGCACACTGAGGATAAAAGTTCACAATTTGCAAAATAAATTTGGCAGAAAATACCAACATCATTATTTTGCTTTAGATAACAAGCTCAGGACTGTCTTCTATTTTGTTTCCAGTACAAATGCATGTCTCCAAAGCAAGGAAGGGACAGGGAAGAAAGCTCTGGGAGAAACTTGGACTTTTATTCCTGGTTCTCCCACTGACTGAATTTGTGACCTAGCACTGTCATCAGAGCTTGGTTTCTGTTTTACTTCTCACATGGAAAAGAGAAAATATGGATGTAAAGTATATTACAACTATGTCAGTCTTTGCGTACCTAATTCTCAGATCTGTTAGACTGTAAAATCCTAGAAGTTTAGGATTGCATCTTCTCTATCTATAGTATCTAGCATGGTCCCTGACACAGTGTAAAACATAATATACATGAATGAATGAATGAATGAATTTATCCCATTTTACAGAAAGATAAAGCTTTGAGAAGGTAACCAACCTGACATCACAATCTAGGGAGCCACAACGTCAAACCCAGAGCTATCTGGCTCCAAAGCTTATGTTTTGATAAGAAATACATGGGAAAGCATTTTCCAACATTTAGTTATTATATATGTTTGTAAAAAGTACAAAGACTGATAGAGATCAAAGGTAATATTTTTACTGAAAACTATTAAATGATGAGACAAGTCCCTTAAGATTAACAATTTCTCTGAAATCCCTGTGATGAATTATTCACACATTTCTCATTCTATTCATCTTAACAAAAGAAAAGTTAATTTATAAAGTACTACAGTGTGACAAAAAAGGCCTACCTTGAAACTGGGGGACTTTTACCCAAAGGCCAGGTTCTGTAACATTTGAGAGAGCCATTTTCAGACAGTCTGTCTTTTCATTAGTGTGAACCAGAGTGGGATGGGAAATATGCAAAACTGAGGAGTCACTGGGATACAGATTTTAAGGTCTCACTGGTGAGCTTTATGATTTACTTTCTAAAAACTAACTTTTCCTCCCTAATTCAAAAATAATTCAGGCTCAATGTAGAGAAGTTAGTAAATTCCACTTTTAAACGACTCTCAAATAAAGTATCAGAAAATTATTAACTATAGTTAATGAGATAGTTCCACAAGTTATGATGCAAAACTGTGGTCATTACCTGGTTTTTGCAAGAAGAAAGAGGGGCTAAGCTAAAATCGCAAAACGCTGTAACAGAGTTTTTTTTGAAGCTTTGATTATGCCTCCCCATAATCCCTCCTGCACTGAAAACCTGGACAGGTTTCTGTTCCCTGTACTCACTGAATTCTGTTGGGGGGGGTGCCGTCCTAGGCCTCAATAATCAGCGGAAACCAGGAAACTTGTGGGAAGTTTGGCTTCCCTTCCCCATTGTTCCCTCTGCCACACTTCCCAGAATCTTCCCATGTGCACTCTGGGAAATGTAGTTCAAGCTTTATATCATCTGCTAAGCCCTTCAAAGGTAACGGCAGTTGTCAAAAGCATGCTTCTGCCACACTTCCCAGAATCCTCCTAGAGATGCACTCTGGGAATTATAGTTCAATCTCCAGGCATGCTGCTATGCCCTCCAACTGCTAAGTTGTCAAAAGCATGATCTTTTAAGATCTTCTAAATCCATTACCAAGAGAACTACTGTGTCTTTGGAAAAAGTAGAGTAGCATTTTGAATAACAAAAGGATAAACTCATTAAACCCATCATAATACACAAAAAGCATATTTTGTGTTGGGACAGGAGGAATTTGGGGTAGGAAACCCCATATCTTTCAACCTTTTTGTATCTCTAATTTTCTGTCTGCCCACTTTAGAACTAGCTCTAACATTTCATGAAATTTTGCCAATTTAAATGGACAAGACTGTGTCTAGATGTGTTTGAACTTTTGATAGATAGAGTCCCTTGATCAACTAGGGCAAGAGGATTCCATCTGACTGAAAGTAAGTCTCCCAGCAAAACTGCTGTGGTGCTGCTCTTTTCCTACTACTAAAGTTACTTGCTTATACAATTAGACAGTTTTGAAGGCCATTCAGTCAACATATATTTAATGAATACCAAATGTCCCTGGGACTATTATAGGCATAGGATATAAATAGCAGCAAACAAAGCCTGAAAATTTCTGTTCTTGTGTAACTTACCTTCTAGAGGAGCAAACAAGTAAATGTGCAATGTGTCAGGTGGTTATAAGTGTTAGGGAGAAAAATAAAGCAAGATAAGAAGAGGGAGGATTTTGCTCTTTTATGTAGGGTGGTCAGCCTTATTGATAAGGTGATATTTGAGCAAAGACCATGAAGGAACTGAGGAAGGAAGCCAAGTGGATATCTATGGGAAGAGATCTGTAGACAGGAAAAAATCAGCAAATGCGAGTGCCTGGCAGGATTGAGGAAAGACTAGGACAAAGCATGGTGGTCAGAGATGAGGTCAAAAAGTAGCCAAGCGCCTGATTATGTAGGGCCTTACAAGTCTTACAATTTTTACAGAGCCATTGTAATACTTTTGGTTTTTACTCTGAGAGAGATAGGATGTTACAGAAGAGTTTGAACAGGAAAGTGAGATTATTTGACTTACATTTTAAAAGAATCACTCCGGGGGCCGGCCAAGTGGCTAAATTGGTTAAGAGCTCGCTCAAGAGTTGGAGCTCTGAGCAACAGTGGTTCAATGCCCAGCCCAAGCTGAGCTACCGCTAAGCTGCCAATAGGTAGCAGGATGGCTCAGCTAAAAAAATTAAAAATAAAATTTAAAAATAAATAAATAAATAAAATAAAAGAATCACTCCGGGTGTGGTGATTAGATTGTAGGAGGTAAGAGTTATGAAATCCTGAATGTCATTGGTAAGATGTACCTAGGCTACATGGGAAGAAAGTGTAATAGCTCTGATTAGTTGACCAGCCATTTCTTTTGAACCTTTCCATTAGCATCCCAGCTTTTTATCAGACGGCCTTTCTAGGAGGGTTCTGGGAACTGTGACAGAAACATACATTTGGCAATCCTTAAGGAAGGCAGAGAAAATTTGAGGGTAACAAGATATAAAATCAATGGATTCCAAAGAGATGGGGAAGTATACTTAGGGAAAGTTAGGGCTATAATAATGTTTTTTAAAAAATCAAAATAACTACATTTTTGAGCAACTAAGTGTTAAGTACTATAATAATAAAAAATAGTGCTATGGGCTGAATGCTTGCATCCTCCCAAAATTCATATGTTGAAATCCTAATTCCCAGTGCAATACTATTAGCAGTCTGCAGCCTGGGAGAAGGCCTTCCCCAGAAACTAACCATCCAGCCTCTACAGTTGTGAGAAATAACATTTCTGTTGTTTCTAAGCCACCCCAGTCTGTGGCATTTTGTTACAGCAGCCCAAACAGACTAAGACAAATAGCTAAGATTAACTTAACATTTACTGTGTTCTAGGCACTAGTGTTCTACGTATTTATCATTAATCTTTATATCCTATGAGCTATGTATTATTATTTGCACTTTACAGATGAGAAAACAGGCTTAGAATAATAAAATAATTTTTCCATACTTACACTGCTACTTAGTACTGGGGTTTTAACCCAAGCTTGTCTGACTCCAGACAGAACATATACTTTGACTATCATAATGTACTATACACATGGTTATATCTCTGACTGGGTTTGTGGGGCAGAGAAGCTGCATAAATATTGAAATATATTGGAACAATGAAAATAATCTCATGTTCATAGATTGAAAGACTTAATTTTGTGAGGAGGGCAGTATTCCCCAAATTGATCTACAGATTCAATGCATCCTGGTCAAAATCTCAGCTACATTTATTTTTTGCACAAGGGACAAACAAAAAATTGGACTTCATCAAAATTAAAATAACTTTTGTGCTACAAACAATATCATCAAGAACTTGTATAGAAACCACAGAAAAGAAAAAATTATTGCCAGTCATACATTTGATAAGGGACCTGTATTTAGAATATATGAAGAACATTTAAAACTCAGTAATAAAAAGATAAATAACTGAATTTTAAAAATAAGCAAAGGATAGGCATAAACATTTCTCCAAAGAAGATAGAAAAATGACCAGTAAGTACATGAAAAGATGTTCAACATCATTTACCATTAGGGAAATGCAAATCAAAACCACAATGAGATTCCACTTCATATCCACTAGGATGGCCACATAAAAAAGGCAGATAATGACAAGGAGTGGTGAGGATGTGGAGAAAATGGAATCCTCATATACTGCTTGTGGGATTGTAAATGGAGTAGCTGCTTTGGAAAACAGCCTGGCAGTTCCTCAAAAGTTAAACATAGACTTACCAAGTGACCCAGCAATTCCACTCCTGGGTTTATATCCAAGAGAATTAAAAACATATGTCTACATATTTTATGTCAACTATAATTTAATACATATATAGTCATGGGATGTGGAGTATAGTGTGGGAATGGAGTCAATGGAATTGTAATAGATATGTATGATATCGGGGGTGGGGAGGCAGTGGGTGGGAGAGGGGGGTTGTCACTTTGTGAAGGGTGAAAAGGATAACTATTGCACCTTAAACTAATAATAATAATAATAATAATAATAAATAAAATAAAAACATGTCTACATAAAAACTTGTACACAAATTTTCATAGCATCATTCAAAATAGCCAAGAAGTAGAAACAATTCAAATGTCCATCAACTGATGAATGAATAAACAAATGTTGGTATATCCATACAATGGTATTTTATTTGGCAATATAAAGGAATGACGTTCTGACACATGCTACAACATGGATGAAGCATGAAAACATTATGCTAAGTGAAAGAATCCATTTACAAAGATGACATATTACATTTATATAAAATGTTCAGAATAGGGAAATCTATAGAGACAGAGAATAGATCAGAGGTTGCCTAGGGGTGGAAGTGGGGAAGGTGTTGGGAGAAGGTGAAGTGATGCTAAGGGAACCAAATGTTTTTGGATTTTTTTTTTTTAAGTGATGAAAATGTTGTAAAATTGATTATGGTGATTATTGTACAATTCTGTGAACTTACTAAAGAATATTGAATTGCACACTTTAAATGGGTAAGTGGTATGTTACTTGAAATACAGCTCAATGAAGCTGTTAACAATATTTAACCAAATCATTAACTGTGTTAAACAATTATAATGCATGGTTAGTAAATATAACAAGTATCTAACTATAATCCTCATAGTTTTTTAGGTCATGAGGTAAAAATTATCTTTCCTCAGATATGCTTAAGTTCAAAGCATTGGCATGTGTTAATCATGTAATAGATTAATACTGTATATTCTTTTTTTTTTTTCCTCTTTTTCTTTTTTTTTTT